GAGAGCAGGGGAGGAAAGGGGGAGCCGCCCCCTCCCCGACCCCCCCGCACACCCACACTCAGGCCCTGGGCGGGTTTTTATTCAGCACCGGTTGCCAGGGGAACAGACCCGGAATACAAAAACCGACAGAAAAAGAGACGGAACCAAACCCGAGTGTGTAAAAAAAATAAATTGATGCAAAATGGGGCTGGGGGGGAAAGCACCCAGGGCCCCCCCACGGGGTCCCACTCACCCGCCCGGCGCTGAGGGCTGGGCTGGGGGGGCCGGAGGTCCCTGCCCCACTTCCTGGGGTGTCAGGGGTCACCCCTCTCAGCCCCACCTGGGAACAGGCCTGGGGCTGGCTGGGGAGGGGCTCATCCTGTGGGGGCCGATCCGGCGCCCCCCTCGTCCTCCGAGTCCTGCGGGAGGAGACCAGGGCAGAGTGGGAGGGGATGATGGCAGGGCAGGGGGGACCCTCCAGCGCCCCCTCCCCTACCTCCTTCTTGCTCTCAGCCGAGGAGCTCTCGTCGCTGGAGACAAACTCTTTGCTCTTGAAGCTCTCGTTGCCGCTCTTGGCCAGGGACTTGCTGGAGGACACGGGCTTGGAGGGGCCCTTCTTCTCCCCCTTCCCCTTCGCCTGCTTCTCCTGCTTCTTCTTCTTCTTCTTTGACCTCTCCCTGCGTGGGCAGGGGGCACACGTTACCCACCTGAGACCCCAGCCAGGGGCCCTCACCCCACCCTGGGCAGCTCCAGGAGGGTCAGGAACTGCCCGGTTTAGGGTTGGGGGGCAGGAACCGCCCAGTTTAGGGGTGGGGGGCTGGGAACCACCTGGTTCCAGGTGCAGCCCCCCAGGCTCTCACCCCCGGGAGCTCTCGGACCTGCTCCCCCCGCTGTACTCCTTCATGGCCTTCTCGTAGTCCCTCCGGGCGTCCTCTGCCTTGCGGTCCCACTCCTGCGGGGACACCAGCTCAGAGGGGCCTCCTCTGCACTGCTCCTCCAGCAGAGCCCACCACATCCCCACCACCATATCCCTCACTGCATCCCCACCACCGCATCCCCACCACCACATCCCTCACTGCATCCCCACCACTGCATCCCCACCACATCCTCACCACGCTCCCAACCTTCTTCACCACATCCCCACCATGTCCCCACCACATCCCTCACCATGATCCCACCACCCCAGGTCAAGCCACGCTGGCCCCACCACTCACCCACCCACAAATGTCCTCTTCCCATCCTCATGCTCCTTTCCCAAGCCCCCACCTACAGGACTGGGGGATCTCCAGACCCCATGGGAGCCCCCCAGCTCCACCCCTGGCAGAGCAGACCCGTCCCCCACCTCTTTCTTCTCCTTGGACATGGCTTTCCAGAGCTCCCCAGCCTTCTTGGACAGGTCGGTGATGCTGATGCCGGGATGGTCTGACTTGATCCTCTCCCGGCTGGCGTTCAGCCACAGCATGTAGGCCGACATGGGCCGCTTGGGCGCGTTGGGGTCCTTCCCCTTCTTGCTCTGGGAGGGGGGAGCCAAGAGGACAAGGGGGAGCCCTCAGATGCCCTGCTCACCAGAGGCCTTGGGGCTGGGGGCTCACGGCAGGGGGCTGGGGTCTCACCTCCAGCTGCTTCTTGCGGGGCTTGCGGTCCTTGGCCACCTTGGCCTTCTTGGCCGGTTTCTTCTCGCCGCGGTCGCTGTCCCTGTCCCCGCTAGAGGAGCTGGCTGAGGCGTTGCTGTCGAACCTGCGTGGGGGTCCCGGCCTCAGCGGCAGCCCCAGACCCCAGGGGGAGACACCACAGCCCCCCCCGCCCCCCCAGCAGCCCGGAACCCGGAGGGGTTCCCAGCCCTGGC